GGGTAATGTAGAAGCATTTGATGATTGTGGTCAAGGCCAAAATGTTGGAATCCTTATTTCTTTTTCTTATGTAGTTCAAGGTTGACAAATTTTAGTTTTCTTAGCGTTAAGGCAGAATACTGAGGGATGACCAATGCTTTTGTCAAAGCCACATGTCTTTGAAATATGCGTCTAGATTTGCATGTTCCACTTTGCAAAGCCACGAGTTTCTTTTACTCCATGCAAAGGATAGGCTAAAATTTGGTACCAAAAGACCTCGCAAAATAGAATTGGGATTGATTACCCGAATTGAATTATCCAAAACCGAAACCGAAATGATCTGAAAAATGAAGATCTGATCAATAACTGAAAACCCGAAATGACCCGAATCGAACCGAAACCGAACTAAATAATTTATATTCGATTTCTATCCGAAACTAATCAAATCCGAACTAATTAGATCCGAAACCGATAATACCAGAAATTGATTAGATCCGAAATCGATAATATTCAATACCGATCAGAATTAAAACCGATAAAACCCCAAATTGTGTTTGCCTTTCAATAAGAATATTATATTTTTAAATTTTTTACTTTTATTTTACCAAATGAACTAATTACATTACTTGCTCATCCCCTCATAAAATGGTTTACCATCTTTATAAAAAATTCACAAAGTCTCATGTTTTAAATTTATTGTATTTAGAAATTGAATAAAAGTTATACATATAAAATATGGGATGAGTTAAGTGAGCCAACTATTTTGTTATTAACAAAATTAAAGGTAATAAAAAATTTGAAAAACACGGTGAAACATTAGTTGAAAGAAATTAGGTCTAAGAATTGAAGGTGAGTGGGAATTGAGAACTGGACTGAATGGTGGCGTAAGAAAAGTGATAAGATTTAGGAGGGAAAGTGAAAAAGAATCAGGGAAACTTTGAATTTTAGGGGGGGAGATTAGGAATGAAAAATTAAGTCATTGACTAGATATTATGTTAAAAATAAAATACTAATTTCAGTTCTAAGTTACAAAATACAGAAGATAATAATTAAAATAATTTTATTTTAAAAAAAACTCCTTCCATCTCAGAAAGAATGCTACATAACGTAAAGCAGAGCAAAATTTTAAGTTTTTTTTTTAAATTTATTTTATTTAAAGATTAGTATAGTATACCTTAACTAATGCTGCCTTGGGATTATTTTATTGCCGGATTTGGTGGCTACACATTATGGGTAACGGCAATATCTTAGTTATTTCTGACTTGCTTACTTACCTATTCTTCCTAGAGAGTTTTGATGCATTGAAATTTGACATTGTTTTTTTGGTTTCGTTTTTAGCAAATTGGTTAGGCTATACACTGACTTGGGATGCTGAATTTGTTTGGTACTAATGCTGCAATGTTGATCTCTTTTGAGAATTTGCAATGCTTGTAGTATTATTAATTAGTTGGTTAAGATTTTGTTTTCTTTCTGCTTCCTCTTTTCCCTTAGTACTTTTCCTAAAAAGTTTTTAATATTTTGTTTGGTACTAACTTTCTTTTGTATTATTTTTTCCTTAATAAAATGCATCGATAAAAATTGAGATATCATACATTAAGATATCATATTTAATAATGCATCGATAAAAATTTTGAGCAATTCATTTTTATCTATTTTTAAAATAGAGCTTTGAATTTTATAGTTATAATTTACGTGAGTTTATACGAGCCCGTGCGAAGCACGAGATAGAAAACTAGTCTACTAATATACAAAGGTAAAGTGAGAAAAATGAATAGTGACTCTTCCCGTCCAAATCTACACAGGTATGGATGGGTTCGAAATGCTGGCTAATGACATGGGTAATTGTGTATGGATGAGTGTGGGTGATTCGAAAAGTCCCATCATAAAAAAGAGTAAAAAAGTAAATTTTCACTTTATTTGTTAGTGAAAAAAGACTTGTCACGAACCACAAGTACAATGCATTTAATGCACTTATTAGGCATGCCTATTGGGAGACAAAATTTGACGCCTTGGCCACTCTTTTTACGTATTTCAATGTAAAGACATCATTACTTTTTCATCACTCTTTTTACGTATTCCAATGTAAAGACATCATTACTTTATGGGAAAGTGTAATGTTTTTGAGAAAGAGTTAAAGTTTATAGAAAAGTGTAACTTAAATAAATACTTTACGGGAAAGTGTAAAAGTTTATGGAAAAAAGTTAAAATTTATGAAAAATGTAACTTAAACAAATACTTTATGAGAAAGTATAAAAGTTTATGAAAATTTTAATAATTTAAATAAATACTTATGGGAAAATGTAACAATTTATGGGAAATGGTAAAAACATGATATGACTTTATATTGAGAAGCGTGAGATGAGACTTTGATAATGTCGAATGCTTTGGATCTGTTTTCATTAAAAAACACCACTTTTCTAGGTTTATTTTCAAATCACATCTCATTCTCAAGCTTTGTGTTTGACTTGACATTTTAATTGATCATGTTATTGTACGCTATTTTTGTTCAACATTTATTTTAACTTAATTTAGAAATATAGTGTACAAGTAAATCATTCAAACCTTTAATTTCATTTTTTGTTTTCACTATACAATCCTCAATATTAGTATATACTTTAAATGTTTATATTGAATACAATTTCATTGTGTTGTCTTTATATATACACTATAAATTTTTTTTATTTTCTTTCACTAACTCAAAATACTTTCCGTGCAACGCACGGGTTAGAGAACTAATACTAGAACGAAGGTAAATGTGCGTCACTTGATTCCAGAACCAAACGATAATGCATTAACTATTGCTAGAAAAAGATTAACACTATGTTTGGTTCAAAGAATTTGATATGGAAAGGAAAAAAATGAGAAGAAAATAATTTTCTTGTTTGGTTAGAGAGCAAAAAAAAAGTGGAAGGAAATATGGGAAATATCTCAACGGGTATTAGATGAATATCACTATGAAATATCTAGGCCTTAACAGTGGTATTAGACCAAAACGCCCATCAATCCATAGAGGCATAGAGATACATATCAAAGAGTAAAGTACTATTAAGGCGGATCATGTATAGGTCTATGCCACCGTTAAAATTAGCTTTTTAATGAGCAATAACTCAATTTAGTACCCGGTATGTTAAACGCAAATACCCCAAGTCAGAGAAAAAATGGGTTTGTCAAAACCCTCAATGTGAATTCTGGTTCTATTTTAGATGTTTTGTGCAAATGGAAATACATTAATAGTTCATTCAGACATGCCATTAACACTAAAACTCAATTTAACCCTGAAGTTGTGGAAGGCCTCAAGTATGTGTCCCCCACCCCCAAGTACTAACTCCAAAATTTTAGTGACCACATTTAGAGCGAGGCAAAAGACTCGCTTTCTCAACTACAACATTGCCACTCAGGTCAATTCTGTATGAAATATCTATGCCTTCCAAAATAAGGTGATAGACGCAATCTGTACAAGAACGTTTTCCGTTTTCACTTTTTTCTCGTGACATTGTTTCATCCGTGCATTTCTCCAAATCCAGAATATCCTCATCTGTAGTGCCATCGTCAGGAATCCCGGTAGTAATATGAGATTTTCTCCTTTGGGAGAGAGAACGTATGTCCCATGAAAGCACTTGTGTTATTAAGCATTGGAATTCAGAACTTGAACTATAAAGTGACTTTTTTTCCTGGAAACATATATAAGATGTCATTGTAACAAGGAAAATGATTATGATTGAGAGAATGAACATAAAGAATTAAAACATGAAATACTAATACAGAGAGCATTAAAAAGAGAGAGTGAAACTAAGAGAACAATAAAGTAAAAGGATTTTTAGCGTAAAGTACTATGTAAAAGAGACTCAGGTTGTTTATCCATCCAAATTAGAGAGAATGAAACAAACACAACAATAAAGTAATGGATTATTGGACACCACTAATATAAGCTTTAAGGGTATTGGATGATATTTATCTCGCTTTTCAAAAGCCATGTAGTTGAGCTAACATGTACGCCTTACTATTTTCATTATGCCAACACCGAGTTCGGATATTAGCAACTTAATTTTTTAATAATGTCTTGCCCTAAATCTCTTACATGGAAATCAAATAAACATGATCACACTTATAAGCAGAGACTTCTTTTCTCCGATTGAAAATTATTTATGCTGGAAACTGGAAAGTGATAGGATCTCGCGAGGGGGAACCCGTGTCATTAATCCAACCTTTGCGCCGAGCTTGATTGGTGACACAAGTTCCTCCTCGCGCAAGATATATATTAGTTGCTCCCCAATTTTCAACCAGATGAAGTAGACATTCTCTGGATCATAAATATGTGACATGTGTGCATGTGTTTTCACTTTTGTTTTCATATACAAAATTTTGTTCAAACTAGGCTATCTTGTTGTTGGTATCATGCACTCCGTAAACAGTAAGACGTAAAAATAAGATCAATAGCATGCTTTCTGAAAGGTGTGATTAATATCGTCCAATACCCTAAAAGGTTAGATTAATGGAGTCCGAAAAGCCTAAAGTAAAACAGTAAGATAGCAATGATTTGGTGATTAACATAAAGTATAACGCCAGTCCACTGACCACATGCTTACAGTCAGATAGTGCATTCAGAGGTCTCGCAAGTTCAGTGATGAAATACATCAAGTTGTGATTTGAACTCTAGAAAAAGTCATCATTTGTAGAAAAACTAAATAAGGCACAACACATAAGAAGAATATTACCTACACATAATCTAATACAAATCACTTGTTGATTTCTAGTTCCTGGCTTCCCACATACTTTGACAGGATATATTCCATGGTTATGCTTATAATCAAGCTCTCTTAACTATATTAAATGTGAAGTGCAGTTTTAACTTTTAACCATGACACTCCTCACGCATCCACAGTATTATTTCCATAACTAAGCTTCAGCATCAATTTCCAGGCTTCATCTCATTAGCATGAGAAATTGAGAAGACTGAATGCTTTTATGAGTCACATTTGGATCTGATATACAATCACAGTTAATTTGATAGCAAAAAAGAAAATATTCCACAATATATTTGATGATGAAAAAAATTATTGTCTATAACATTACAATATATATAGACAAAATAAAAAGCTATAGTTGATTAGATCAGAAGAACAAATGAAACACCATCTTTAAACCAACAAAAATTAGTTCTTAATCAGTCAGTAACTTGAGAGAGAAAAGCATTGTTACAGAAGTCAACTTATAGGAAACACACCAGTATATGACAATGCAATGCCAGTACAGAGATATATTACCATGATTGACCAACAATCACTCAGACTATTTGAGAAGTCCTCCGAGAAGTTAATGGAAGATGTAGCCAACAACTCATCCGCCTATTAAGAGATTTCACCATGCCCAAATAAATTAATCTAATGAGAAAAGGATAGAATTTTGCTTTAATATTTATCAGAATAAGGTTAGTGATAGAAGCCTACTAGATATAATTCAAAATCTAAATTAAAACTAAGTAGAACTCTCCCTTCTTTCTCTCAATAAGTATGCCATTGATGAAAAGGGAGTAGAAGCTAAGAGAATCTCAATATGATCAATACTTTATTTTTTGGATATCTCAGTAATAAAGAAGCTGGGATGTTTATAACAACTCTAACAAACGGATAAGATCAAAATAACAAATTGATCTTATAAGATCAAAATAACAAACTGATCTTATAAAATCAAAATAACAAACTTATAAGATCCAACAAACTAGGCTAACTTAGGGGTTTAGGACTCCTAATAACCCGAGAGTCCTTTTATTTAATGAATAGTGATTTAATAAAAACGGTAACAAACTCAATCAAACAACAGGTAATAATGTAATTAAGGTGGCCTTCTGCTATCAATGGTGCAGATCTTATCATTACTCCCCTCTCTGAAAGCCACCTTGTCCTTAAGGTAGAAATCTAGATGTTTGTGTTGTACAAACTCGTTCAGATTAAAAGGAGATTATTCCTCTACTCCTATCTACACCTTAAGAGACAGCATTGAATTAAATCTAATGCTTTGATCAACTTTCGAGATGCCTTGTAATTTATATCGCTTCCCATCAACCCAGAGACTCATAAGCATTTCATTCCAGTTTGCTTGAATGGTAATCAAGGAGGCTAACCATTTGATTCCAAAATCTATATCAGATCCAACTAGTAGAAATGGGTAAAAATTTTGCGTACACTGAATAACAAAGCCGTCTCCTATCTGTACCCCAAATGCCTGAACTAAGAAAACAGGTAGCTTAAGTTGCTGCACAAGTTTTCAGAAATGAAGTTGTGCGTCGAACCACTATCGATCAACAGGAAAACTTCACGTCCTGTAATTTTCCACTTAATTTCATTGGCAGACGTTGGCCTCCCAAAAATCGCATTAAAGGACACTTCCTCCACTTTTGCCTCCCCATCGGGAACCTGTTCGGGGTTCATCTGATTACAATCCTCATCGACTTCCATGAAGGAGAAGGTAGTGGATGAAGTTGAACAACAATGTCCCGGCCTAAAGGGAATGCCTCACCAATAGCGAAGTCCTTTATCCCTGTGTTGCTGCTTCATTGATTTGTCCCTACTAAATCACAAAATCAGCAACATCAGTGTTGAGCCTGAAAATCCTGAGAATGCACATGGCTGGGGCGAGTGAGATTCAGTCAAGTTTTTTACCTCTCAGTTTTGATGAATGGTAGAAGATCTGGCCCGATCCCATCTGACTTGTCTTGAAATGCAGAGGGGTATTCCATTTCTCAAATTCAAGGGCCCTGAGCACAGATTTGGGTTTATGAATTCTGACCTCTGACCTCAAATCTTCTCTCAAACAAGCAATAAAGAAACCCAAGAGACACTGGTCAGGCCAATTTTGGACTCGAGCAACCCTTGATGACGATAGTCCTGTTCAGAACCTACGTGTTTGATTAGGACAAGGTGTTCGTCTGAGTTCAAGTATTCTGGCGGTTTGTAATGCTCAATAATTTTGATGAATACCTCCCAATACAAGAGCGTCTTTTCGGCATTGATCCACGAGAACAAGTCAAGAGGGTCGCCCTCGAGGTGCATGGATGCGATCTCAACCTTATCTTCTTCTGATGTGCCGTAGTAATGGAAGTACTTTTCAGCCTTCAACACCCAGCCCCGTGGATCTCCGCCGCTGAATTTGGTAAACTCGACCTTGGATCTGGGAAACCGGTGGTGGCTGTGACCGTTTTCATCATCAGAATCGCCAGTATACTGCTTCATCTTCGTCCTCCCAGAATTAGTTCTGGCTTGCGCCTTCAAGGCAGTCACTTCTGCCTTAAGGTCATCTAACACAGAAAGCTTGGCAGCGATTTGTGCTAGAGTGTCGTTGGACGGAGTAGCCCCGTTCGCTGATTGCTCGTTGGTTCCACCATCCTCACTGCAGGCAGCGTTTGAACGGGTAATTGCCATAAGGATCTGGTAAAGAGCTCTCCGATACCAAATGATAGAAACCTACTAGAATTAATTCAGGATCTAAATTAAAACTAAGTATAACTCTCCCTTCCTTCTCTCAATAAGTATCACACGGATGAAAAAGGAATAGAAGCCAGGAAAATCTCAATGTGATCAATAGCCTATTTTTAGATATCTCAGCAATATAGAAGCTGGGATATTTATAACAATTCTAACAAACACTGAAACACATAAGATCAAAATAACAAATTGATCTGATAAGATCTAAATAACAAACTGATAAGATCTAATAGCCTGAAAGTCCTTTTATTTAATGAATAGTGATTAAATAAAAATAGTAATGAACTCAATTAAACCACACATAATAATGCAGTTAAGGTGGCCTTGTGCTATTAGTGATTCAAATATTATCATTTAGCATCAAGATAGTTTACAGCTCTAAAATGTTCCATTCCAGACATTGAGATGCAATCAATTTAATAGAAGTTTGTAGGCAATGCTTCAATACACCATTCATTTATTGTCCGAGGAACTATTTTGTGCTTACTTTTCAGCATTAGATAGTGGGACGGTTGTAAAATATATGGCACTCCCTATGTCCCATTATTTTAATTCCCTACATCCATTTTGGTATGCCCCAAAATTTTTGCTTCATACCATATTTGGTACTCCCTTGGTATTGTCCCATAAAAAGGCTTCATACTTCCTTTTTAGCTAATTAGGCATATGGCTCACCTCATAGTTAGTATCCTATTAGCTTAAATGGTAGAGTGGTGTTATAACCTGGGATGCGACAGCGGAAACTATGCTCATATCACAAAAGGGTAAGCAAGCCAAGGGATTACTTTTTTAATATTATAATCGTTTTTGGGTTGAATTCAACCATTATCCTAATCTAAAAGCCCAAACCAAAGCCCTTTTCTGCCCAAACATTACCTAGCCCTAAACAAGGAGCCCAAACCCCTTTCCCATATATCCAAAAGTCTTTTGTTATTGTGAGTTCATAAATAAAGTCTTCCATGCCTATTTTTACCCTTTGGATAAAATAGGAAGACAAAAAGACAAGTGAAGTCTTAACTCTTCATTTTGACCTTCAAGTGTTCCATTTAGTTATCCTAATGTTTTTAGTCTTTCCTACTCACATGGTTAAACCTCCCTTTCATTTTACACCGAAAATAAAGTCTTTTCACTCCTTGAATTACCCCTGACCAAAATCATAAGCTAGAGTGAGACAAACACCTCAAATTCCTCATTTGGACACAAAAGTCAACACCCATAAACCCCCCTACACCTAAGCCACGGAATTCCAGCCCAAAATGGATCAGAAAGACTTGTGAAGAACATGCTAAAGACAAACCCCCACAAATCAAGGAAGCATGTCTCCATCTTTTACCCAAGCATGTGAGGGACAAATCAACCATGTTTCTCCTGATTTTTATTCATCAAATAATGAGCTGAGCAGCCCCACGTTATTCTCTAGCTATGTGGTGTGTAAAGCCAAATAGATAAAAACAATTTGCTTCCATGTAATCATTAGCTTTTATGTCTCTTGTTTTAGCCTATATATGTTCAGTCATTGAATTTTAGAGATATATTTTTGAATATCAAGTTGCTAAAGTAGTGTGATACTATTTTATCTTAAAATCCTAATCCTATATCTTAAGAGTGGTTCTCTTATGTGTGAGTTTTAGGTTCTAGATATATCAAATAAGTGTGTGATTCCTTATTTGAATACTAGAGTTAACCCGAGTGAAGATAAAAGTGTGTAATATCTCTTAACACTAACTTGATAAATGTTTCTTTCCTTCTCTTAATATCTCAATCAACACTTCTCCTCTTCTCTTCTCCCTTATCTCACTACTGCCCTCTTTTCCTCTCCCACTCTTTCAGCCTTCCCCTTTCTCCCTTATAATCTCAAACAAGAATTCTCTTCCCTTTTCTTCTTTCTTCATCTCACCCCACTGCTCTCTCTCTCTTTTTCTCCTAAACCTTTAATTCTCTCTTGATTTCTTCTCTAAAGAAACTCCCTCAATCATCCCCTGCCCCTATCTCTCTCGTTCAACCTTACCCTCCCCCTATCATCCTTGAGCGCGGGTACAAGTGGTCTGTATATAAACACATAAACGTGGGTTTGAATCCCAATTAGGCAACATAATAAATAGATAGAACTTTCAGGTCCTAAGAATAAATTTCTAAAAAGGTTGGCATTGCTGATGCTGTATGCCATTGATCTAATAGTTATCCACCACTACTCATTGGATATGTCTTAGCTTAGAATGTGAAGTGTTATACGAAGTATTAGAATGGAAGGTCTTGAATGATCCTGTGCATGTCTTTTACTCATATATTACATTTCTTACTACACCAGTTCTATTAGTCATACCTGTACAAGTTCAAAAGTTGTGGGATTCAATATAACGCATGCATGATATGCTCTAACACAGCTTGACTGTCTCCAGAATGAGATAGTAATATATGCAAGATTGTTACGGCAACGAGGCGAGGTGAGGCGCTAATGGACCTTCACATTGCCTAACCGATTTGGTGCCTGTCTAAGCAACAATTAGGCGACCTATAAATAAATGTGTGTTGTGTAAAAGCCTAGCCCGTTGGTGACAAGCTCAGGGTCAAGGTCCAGTTCGAGTGTATCCATCACTTGCATTAATCCCAAGTACACATTTTTCAAATAAACCAAAAACTAAGGTACATAAAACTCAGAGCATATGGCAGATTGGCAGTGCACTCGCCTTGGTTTTCCCTAAAGTGTCTCCCATTTCATGGGCTCATGTATTTTTTAATACGGGCCACTCTCCACCCACCAGGAAGGGTACACTTTCCTTCTTACTCATGCCATGCTCTCAGATTACGAATCTCTATCTCTCTCTCTACCCAGTCTTTCGGAAGACATCAATAACTTATGCGAAAGTCTTCGATTGATTTAACTGAAGGCTCAGAATTCCATTTCAGAAAGTTAGCATTTTTCTAATAATCTACATTGTCACTTTAAGAAATCCATTAGAAAAAAAGAATCTTTGGCAATAGGCTTGAAAATCCAAATGTCTTTTGCAACAAAGTGAGAATCATGTCATACTTCTAGATTTTACTTTACAATTATATTTAAAGTTGTTCTCCACACCACTCAAATTAGTAATCAGTTTTGAAATTCTTCCAATCATTTTCAAGAGAGAAGTGTTCAAATTATAGTTCACGTTTGAAGTCTCATGTTTTATGCCAAGTAGCATATTTTAAATGATCCAACTTGAAAGATTATTGACACACACACCTACGCGCACACACAATAATTAAGTTGTGAGTGAGAAGAGTTGTACAGAGTACTATTCAACATGCAATACCTTTACCCAATAAGGCACTGTTGCTTCCACGATGCTGTCACTGTATGGAAGATATGGCTTGACATCAAGAACAGGCTGTTCATAGAGACCAAGTAAAAAAAAGAGTTACAAATCTAAACACCATGCCCTGATAGGTACATATCATTCAATAGCTAGAACAGAAAAAACAAAATGCTTACTGTGCCATCAACAAGATCTATGCCAGAAAGAAGAACAGCAGTCCCATGCACTGACTCAACCTAAAACGCACGAAAGGTACAATACACAGCTTAATGTGTCCCATTTAATAATTAATACATTGAAGCTAACTCTTTTAACTCAATTCAGTTATTTTTTGGTAAATTGTTATCATGTTCAAATTATTATTATTTGGTCTAATGTTCATAGGAGGCTTTCACATATGAAACTTTTATTGTTAGAAAAATGTTCACAAACATTCCATTGCGCACCCACATAGACGAGGTAGGATCTATTTCGAGATACAAGGAACACCGTAGAGCCGTGTAGGACGCGGTGTCATATAACTCGTATTATGACACACAAGGTTGGCCTCAAAAGATAGTAATTCTGAATGAATGCATTTTCTCTATCAACACTTATTTTCCCTGTAGGACGTGGTGTCATATAACTCGTATTATAACACACAAGGTTGGTCTCAAAAGATAGTAATTCTGAATGAATGCATTTTCCCTGTCAACACTCTTTTATGTGTAAGCAAACACATAATTGGTTAATCTAATTTTTGATAATACATTTTCCTATAAAATACTCCCTCCGTCCCACTCTCTTTGTCCACTTACCTTTTGGCACACCATCCAATGCACTTCTTTAATCCATTTTATCTTGTAATTTGTATATTAAAAAATTATAGAAATTATATATTAATAATCTATATGTTAAGACAAATCAAACAAGATCACACATGACTATATTTAGGCTTACACATTGAGAGAATTTGATGAGTCAAAGTACTTAGATGAACAGTTCCAAAAGTCAAAAGTGGACAAAGAGAGNTACTCCCTCCGTCCCACTCTCTTTGTCCACTTACCTTTTGGCACACCATCCAATGCACTTCTTTAATCCATTTTATCTTGTAATTTGTATATTAAAAAATTATAGAAATTATATATTAATAATCTATATGTTAAGACAAATCAAACAAGATCACACATGACTATATTTAGGCTTACACATTGAGAGAATTTGATGAGTCAAAGTACTTAGATGAACAGTTCCAAAAGTCAAAAGTGGACAAAGAGAGTGGGACGGAGGTAGTATTTAATAAAATTTCTTTTTCTTTGAAAACAATGTGCAAGCAAACACCAATAAACACAATAATCGCTAACTATGTATTGTGGATATTCACAGAGTAACTTCATTGTAATGCTCTGTGCACCCAATTAACCTTTCTTAAGTACAACAACCAAGTTGGATCCCACGACAGTACGGTCTTGAAAGGGTGTGTGTAGGCAAAGCTTGCCCCTACTCGAATGCAGGGAGGCAGGGAGGAACTGCCCTTTCTTAAGTATGAATAGACAATGATCAAAACACTACACTAAGGGTGTTTTCTCTTCGGCTGATCTGAATTGAATTTTTTTAAGGTTGATCTGAATGGATCTAATCAGAATAGATCTGAACTGATCTAAATGAATCTGATAAAAATTCAAAATCAAATAATAATAATTATTGTTGTAGTTGTTATTAGTATTATTATATGAATTTGGATTCAAATTGGAATTATTATTATTATTATGATTATTATGATTATTATTTTTTGAATTTGAATTTGAATTCAAATAACAATATTAGTAATTATTGTTATTATTTGAATTTGAATTTGAATTCAAATTATTATTATTATTATTTTAATTTTAATTCGAATTTAAATTATTACTATTATTTTAACATAATTTATTCTTTAATACTTTTCAAATTTGGATTACTAGATTTGACCTAAGTTAATTTGATCTGATTTGATTCCACTAAGAATAAGTAGCAGAAATAAGTTGAAGAGAACATGGCCTAAAAGTTGTATTTCGAAGAGAAGGATTTGAAAATTATAAGAAATATTCTATCCAATCAATTTTCTACTTTTTTTTCTTTTTTTATATGACTTTAAAAAAATTCTTCTTTCCTTTTAGAGAAAAAATTGTGTGGGATCCATACAATTTCTCTTTCTTGGCATAAACCTCAACTAAAGAGTTTTTACTTTAATACTTTATTAAAAAGCAAGCCATGTAAACACACAAAGAAAATCCCAAGACAAAAGGAGTTATAAAAAAAGTGCCCTCTTGATCAATGAACGATATTGGACAAATAAATGAGAAACCAGTTCACCACATATGGTAAATAGTTAAAGTAGAGCATTCAGTTGTACCTTTGCAACTGTGAGCCCAATGGGACATGGACGGTGTGGAGATCTGGTTGCAAAGACACCCATCCTCCTGCCTTTCAACTTTGGAACTCTTACCTTCACTTATATAATAGAATATATGTCTATCAATTCTAGAGAAATTAAGAAATCTTAAAATCATGTAACTGACCTTTGCCTTGAACTTTGAGTGGGAAGGGTTCTTCCATAACTTTTCGAGATTTGTGTTCTGATGAAAAACGTAAACAATCCAGCAATGGGAATATCCTTCAAGGCCTTCAAGAGAAGACGATTGAACTCGAGTTTGATCAAACAATAAGCGTGCTCTTGCAAGGGGCACTAATAGAGGCTGTCGTGGAGTTCCGTTTCTGAACCCATGCATAGAGCATAAATAGGGCAGCATAACAACATAATTTGCTTTCAAAAATATGTGAAATGAGAAGAAAATTAAAAACAATAGTATTCACGTGCAGCGAAATTGTTTGGATTTGAACATAGTACAAAATAGTAGTAATCAAATATAAACATAAATTAGTTCCAACATATTTCTGGATCAGCATAAACCCGCAAACAACAGTACAACAAACTCAATGTAATCTCACTAGGAAGGTTTGGGGAAGGTTGGATATACACAAACCATACCTCGTACCGAGAGGGGTGGAAAGTATCCAATCTCGAGTACCAAAATCCCAATCCTGTCCTTATTTTGATTAAAGAATACAAATGATCCTGATAATCCCAACAATAAATTTCCATATATTTTTGGACAAATAAGTCAAAAACTAAAAGAAAATCACTTACAAAGTGAACCCTACTATCATAGTTGTGAATGGCGCTCGCCATTCTCGCCAAAGGCGCTTATGGTCATGAATCCCTGTCCCCATTTTCCCTGATTTTATTCCATGAAAGGACTCAAGCACATGACTGCATTTTCTAGGATTTGTGGAAGAAATAGCTTAGTATTTTCCTTTGTATGAGTGCCTTTAAATTTCGGCCATAGGCCTATTGTAATGCTCAGATTTTTATTCTTCATTTCAAGATAGAAATACACTGGTTGTATTCTGTTTTCAAATCCTAATTTCTATATCTTAAGGTTGGTTTCCTTAAGTGTGAGTGTTAGGTTCTAGTTATTTAATTGAGTGTGTAATATCTTAATTAAATTCTAGACTCAAACCCCAAGTGAGGATAAGAGTGTGTTATATCTCTTAAAACCTACTTGGTTTTTATCCCTTTTCCCCTCTTATT